GTAAAGCGTTAATCACACAGAACCCATTAATGAAGCGATACTGAGTAGAACCCTCAGGATAGCCTATCGCGTTCACATAAACAATATAAACATATTAATATGATGAACACTTACTGGTAAAGTATGTCGAATATATATAGTGATGAAGCGTTTAAATGTTTTTGTTCTATACCTTGTATGCCATTGCAAGAATAATCGCTTCAGTAGTCATGCACACAATTAACAAACCGGGGCTGAATATTACCTATTCTATTCTTATTGGTTATAGGCTGGTTCTGTTGTGTCACATTCACCGGAATACAATTAGAATGTTGTCTTTAAAGAGTATGGCTAACTGACTGTTTATCGTATCTCTATCTGTTCTGGGCCCAAATCAGAAATTAACCCATTCCGGGAATGAAGAACTCTCATTCTGGCGCAACTTGTTCCTTGGCTATAGATCGTTCCATGACAACCAGATCCAATCTTCTTAAGTCGGCATTTAGTAGATGACCAACAACCCAATTAATATCGGGTCTTGTGCTTTACATTCAGAACAGAATTGACCGCATCCGATCCCGTCTCACTGTTTGATTAAATATTATTCCCGCTCTGCTTATTGCAACAACGTAATATAATCAGTTGTAGATAGACCACATAGTATACTCTCCCGCATCATCCTAAACGGAATCATTCCACGTAGGCCTTACAAAACGACCAGTTGTCGTGGAAGGCGTATCAATGGGCAGAGGAGAAAAAATATAAACAAAGGTGATACCGTCTGGGTCTCGTATCCTTAACCAATTGGTTGATAAGTAACGAGTTATTCGTGCATGAAAATAATCGATCGTCTATGAACTGTTTAATAATAAGTAACCCGCCTCGTCAAAAGGAAAAGAGAAACCCAAGTACTTATATGCGGTTAAATATGCAGTGATTTAATGATATTTTCATTGACTATACCTGATTCTGAGACCGCAACAAAACAATATTGAGCAGAATTGTCTTTAAGACATCGTGCACAGAATAAAATCGCCGGCCGGGTCAACAAATCATCATCACAATATCACCAATCTGTCTTTTTACCTTTATTCTCTCCTTTGAACTTTGGTCAAATTTGCCTTGTCATGAAGCTGTTTCCAAAGAATGATCTGTCAAGTAATAAAAGTATAGCCATTAAGATTAAGAAAAATACGGTAAGATTATATACCTCGATAGTATTATCGTATAACAACGTTTGTTGTGATTATCGATCGCCAGGTACTCAGCATTAATAAACAAAACTCTGACACGCTCGGAAGAAGAAATATTGACTAACGTGTACGGAATTGTTATTTGTGGAGCATTGTGCGAAGAAAAATTGGGTAAATGAGTATTCCAGGTATGTCTCAGCGTCAGTCTGTGAAAAAGTCTTGCATTGACGGACAATTACTTGTCTATTGAAGACCATGATTGTTATACAAGAAACCAAGCTCATACAATGTGACACGAAGTACGCGACGTTGGTATTCTCCGAAACGTCAAATGCTAACTGTGCATAGAGTAACTTAACTGTGACAGATTTTGTCGATATCAATATGCTTGGGATAATAAAAAAGGCGTAAAAATAGATTATAACGATTCGTACATAAACCGCATTCTTTGTGAAAAAAAAAGAAAAAGTTATGGATGTTAATTTTTCCAGGCTCAAGTTTGCTTAAGAATTTATTAACTAACTGACATTGGAACATTTTGGTCGATATGTTTAAATTCTATTTTATCAATCATCCTCTACGAAAGACAGATGTCATTTTTTGCCTATTGTGTTAAATATTAGATGTATCAATTATTAAGGGTGTTTCTCGTTGCCGTTTTCGCCTAATTTTTTACTCCATGTAAGTACCGAATATAGCAAATAGCACATACAAGTTTGAGATCTTATGGAAATATAAAATGTTTATTGATGACAACGACTACAAATCATATAGAGAAGTCTTAAAAATCAACTTAACTATATATACTCACCAACTACTGTGAATCCCCAAACGCACGTGAACACCGAGGCACATCCAATAGTTGATAACCATTGGTGGCGGCCACATTTTATGCTCTTTCGTCAGCTATGTGGTTGATAAACCGTGTTTTATTGGCCATTCAAAGTTTATTTGTTTGTTCTTGCTTTGGAGAAGTGGTACAAGTACAACGGTTGGTTCGAGTATAGAGAGTTCGTTGTATATGCGCTTTAGTTGTTGTGGAAGCATACATGTTGCAAATGAGAGCAGCCAGGGTGTACGTATATTTAATATTATGCATATACGTTTGAGTTTAAGTGTTAATATTGGGATGATTAGCTCAATATTAGTCCTCAAGCTTATGTGATTAAGAGGCAACAGAAAATGTATTTGATGATGGTTTTTATTTTTCTTTTCCAGCGGCAGAAATGGACTAAACTAATTAGAGAAAAATTCAACTTGCATCAGTCTCGAGATGCTCCTTATCAGGTTGATGTCCCGGGAAGCGCGACCAGCTGTTGTTGAGCCCATGGCAACCAGAGACTGGGCAACAGTGATGCAGAAAATGGAATCCTACCGTAATAAACTGGCAAAGGAGCGGCGGCTTTATGAGTAATACTTTTTTCCCACTCGATATCCTCATATTCATGATACATATATTAATATCACTAATAATACTTCTGTATCGCTAGTCCGTTATATTACTATCTCATAGATCATTCGGGGCCAACACTTCCCCACTGCAGACCTGTTTGGCGAATACTTTCCAAGAATGAGGCTCTCGTTGCCGAAGGAAGTGGATTTTACTGCGCGTACTCTTTCGGATAAAGAAAACAGCCTTTTCATGCGACTTCTTGCGCGGTAGAGTTTTTTCTCCTGAGAACTTATTTGATGTTGCTGATACGTACATGCTGAACTGTTTTATTTGTATACAGTCCAAACACCCCAATGACACACCTGTGAAAACAGAAAAAGAGCGTAATATTAAGGAGCTTGTGACAAGCACGTACGTTGAGTAAGGCAATATATCGATTTCTATGTTGATGAGTCTAATGTAATGGTTATTATCATCTTGCAGCTTCAAGGCAATAACGAAACCCGGAAAGGATAACCTTTCTGAGATGGAGCGCACCTCACGTAATGTTACCCTTTGTTAGACGCTACTGTAGGCCTCGATATGGAATGCCGCGTCTATTATTAGTAAGTCATCTTTCCTTGCATAATAATAATTCCTTTTTGACAACATGCTTTATTAAATAAAATTTGTCGATACGTCTTGTTACTATGTAGTGGAGAACGTACTCTGGAAGCGACAGCTAATCGACGAAAACGAAGGCAGGGACCCCTATGAACGAGCGAGAGACGGTTATAAAGTGGACGCCATAATCGAATATCAAGAGCTGGGCTGGTTGCCAACTATTGGATGTGGAGAAATCTCCGGCGGTCTGCCCACGTGGCAAAGAGTGGAAAGACACGCTTAAACTAGGTCTCGAGTTACGTGACATATGGCGCAAGGCGCAGAAAGAGTTGGGGGTTCACAGTAGTCGGTGAGTAGTTTATATTTTCATAAGACCTCAAGCTTGTATGTGTTATGTGCTAGATTCGATACTTACAATGGGGTAAAAAATTAGGAGGCAGAAAACTTCGCATTTACGCGCTGGGTGGACTCTTCCATCTGGTGCTCGTGGAAGAGGTGGCCCACCGTCTTCACTGAGCGACCTGATCAACCTGCAACGCGCCTACCGCGTCATGCTGCTGTTCACCGACAAGTTAGCCATGGGCAAAGAGGCAGCTGGTTGCGTGGAATCTGGAAAGATTAGAGGAGAGGGATCAGTAGATAACAACGGGTAGAGAAAAAGTCACACATGACAAGAATCAGAGTCGTAACTTACTAAAAGACATATTCAAAATTGTTTGTACTAAGCATAATTATACAAAGAAACGATATAATTCATGATGCGAAATCACAGGTACTAATTGCAATGAAAAAGATGGCAAAGTACATATTTCATATTATAAATGACTATTAATAATGATGATAACAAATAAAAGAATTTTATACTTACAATATGACTTGAATGAGTTTACTCAGCCATTCATACGGATCTTATGCCATGATATTATCTATTAAGAATCTTTCTTATCTCGGATTAACGATTCTACTACAAATCGCTCTCGGAACGATGATAACGTGCAATCTTTGGATCAATTTGATAAGAAATATCTTTTCGTGCATAATATGTAATGAAGTAACGATGTGTTCTGATCATCGAAACATGTGACATAATTGATGTTCTTTGAATTTCCTAAAATGGATTATGCTAAAGCGGAGCAATCCCAGACAGCCAATAGACTGACTGCAAATGCGGGATCACGTTTTACTAAACGAAAGTTTTTGACTATGAAAGTATTGATTTAGCACAGAGTACAGCAATGTCTATTTTGTATGTTTGCCCTAATAATGTAATCACGATATCTATATCAATTCTGAAACATAGACTTTGATCTCAACGACCATACGACAATGTTATGATTATCTCCTCATCAAACTCAATTTGCGCAATGTCATAATCTAAACTGGCAGACGAATAACTGAGCTGAGCCACTGATGCATTTCCATTGATCAGATTATCACATTCATCTACAGTATATGCATCGCTACCGTTAGGATTAAGTATGAGATTTTCACGAGCTGACAAACTATAAATAGACAATTAGAAACCCGTCGTTCCCAAATGGAAATTTTCATACTACAATAAAGTTAAACGGCATTGTTTCTCTTTCTTTGAAAAAGAACAACGTATGTCAGTTCTGAAACATAGTCTTTGACATCAACGATTACGATAATGCCATGCCATGCCATCAATCTTCGGTCGGCACCAATTAGCTTGCATATTGCACGATATAGTCTACATTGGCAGAGTATGCTGAGCCACAGCTGCATGTTTTCGATTGAGATAAAGTTGTTACTGGCTAAAAATAAAACCAACGCGAACAAAAATAACCTTCCATCTATGATAAAACGTGATGTTATCCTTAAGTGGAAATTCTCATACAGTTGTTGAATCGTCCCTTTTTAGGTAGATCAATTGAGAATGAGCACTTGTCTAAACAAGGCATCCTTAAAAATAAACCGACGTGAACAAAAATAATCGAATCACGCTATTCTAATGTTCCCAATGGAAGTCGTCATACTGAAAACAAGTTGACGCTTTGATAATGATATTTTGTAATAGTTTCCTTTTTTGTTACATTTATCAATTTTGAAGCACAACCTTGATCTCAATTAACCATTATAATGCCATTATTACCTTTTCAAATCAGTATGCCGACCCAATTAACTGCATGTTTCGAAGAATGTTCATACATACTGACAGAAAGTTAAAAATATCAAAGCCAGTCCCCTCTATCAGCCATACATAAGCATGCGTAACACTGTCACAAAATCACCACGCCTCGTCATTTCCTCAGTCACGTACTGCCTCAAAAGACAAAGTCCAGTTTTTTGGAAAACTGAGCAAACAAAACTTTCTTCTCAAACGCAATAATCATGAAGCGCAAACCAGCACTCTATATCTACTTCATTCTCACTTTCTTTGTCACCACATTCGCAATCCAAGCGGATTACCACAAGGACAATGCCATCAGACCATGACAACGAGACACTTCCTGTATTCCGCCTGAGTCGCCCGAATGGAATTAATAAGAATCAAGTCATTGACCTAGCCCACAGCCTATACGGCATCTCAGACGACTACACCAGCAAGTATGTGGATTCACGTATCATCTTGCGCTCCGGTTCACATGTAGTCGAAGTTGACAAGGTCAGTGGAGGAATCTGGACCGCTGACGAGGCAAGCCTATGGAACACTTCAATTCGACCGGAACTTGTGAGCGATGAACATGCCTCTGAAATTATCAATAATCTTATCCATGAACATAAGTTGCTGCCAAAGTTCGACGAGGACGGACCATTCCAGTTGGTATCTGGGAAAATTGGCGGAACTCTTTTTGGTCAACAATCAACCGTAAATGGTAGTCGCATAACACACAAGCTCGATACGAGAACTAGCTATAGAATAACAGTCAATCTCCCCAACAAACCTCATATTCCAATTGTTGGCGGTGGGGCAAAGTTCCAATTCGTTCTTGGAGAAGCGGGTCGCCTTATCGGATTTAACGGTGTATGGCGCTAACCTGAAACTGAGGTCAAAATTATCCCAAAGAAGAAGGCCGACAAAATTTTCCTCGATACGTTCAAGCACCAAAAGCTGGTCAACTACACCTCTTCACTCGCATACTTCTCGGCACCGTCGTCAAGAACGCAGGAATTCCTCTACCCTGTGTATGTTTACGACGGCACCTTGATGGCCAGTGGTAACCATGTTCCGTTGCGCCAGGTGATCTTGCCAGCCACACACTTCTCTCCATTTCCCAAGGAACAAACCCCTCAGCAATCGCGCTCGCAAAATAAAACTGAGAATGAGAAACGCGCAAACAGGCGTAATAAACTCACATGCGGTACCGAGTGGATCGGTAAATCTGGTGGACTAGTCGGCAGTCATGACAATGCTCTGGGCTTCGTGAATGGTCTCTATGACGACGGCTGGGACATCTCTTTCAACTGGGGCGACGTTGCCGCCTTTAAATCAGACTGGACAACCGACAATGATGCATGGATAGATAATGTTGACTTTGTATTCTATACCGGTCATGCCAACATGAACGGCTGGAAGCTCGATGGTAATAAGAGCTTCCTTACTTTTAACGAAATTGGCTTGCTCGATCGAGATCTCGAATGGCTGGTCATCGCTGCTTGCGGCCCGCTTCAAGACGACATAATTAGTCCTGGTGGAGGTGATGTTTTTCGCTGGAAAACTGCCTTCGAAGGTGGACTTCATCTATTGCTTGGTTACGGATCCATCACCAGTGACAACACTGAAGAAGGCAGATTACTCACTAAATATACCCGTGAAGGCCAAAAAATCATCGATGCCTGGTTCCGTACAGCGCAAGAGGTGCAGCCATCCGTAAACGGTGCTACTCCACCGAATGGCCCGGATGTTTGGGTTGGCGCAATGTGGGTGTCGAGCCCCAGCAGCGATCCCAGTCAAGACCATATCTGGGATAGTGGTTCTGTCTCAGCTGACCCCATTAACTTTAATTTGATGAACGCTCTTTGGACAACTTGCTAAGGATTTTTACAGGGAAGTAGAGGGAATATATGAATAATCAATAAATCATCTTCAATTCACAAATGTCTAGCAGCAATGCATCTAGTTGTACCAAAAAAGCAGGAGAATATACATCCATGCGTTTTAAGATAATAGTTGCAATGCACGTATTATGTTGAGATGCAGAATTATATCGACATACTTGAAAAACAACGCGGCGCGGCGCTGCCAATAAACCGACCGTCTGGTGTCTGCAACTGACGGTATTATCAGCGAAACTAACATAGACCGAGGGAAAGGGAAATGAGGTCACGTCAAGGAAACTAGTAATACTGGAAAAACCTGCTTCGCAGAGGTGCACACTGAAATTTTTGTGGATCAATATGTCCCGTCGCCATGTAAATCCCGGATTTACATATGTAAATGCGGTTTTGGGGTCCTTGACGGAATTTACGTGCGACATTCATCTATTTATTTTGGGGTCCTTGACGGGATTTACAGATTTACATACCAAATACAACAAATATACTATAATCATTTTGGTTGTAACACGTGATTGTCCATATCGAGTATAGCTACTACATATCCTTAATTTATCGTAATTTGCTATTCACGTTAACCCATTCTCCTCTAGAACTGTTGTTTATTTATTGGATATTCTTTGCGTTTAAAGTGTAGAGATAGCTATCGCTATATTCACCGTTTTTCTGCTTTACACTGCAAAAATTTCTTTGCCTACGTAATGTTGTGAGATTAATATGCAAATTTTAATAGCTTTTTTCATTGCGTTCAAGTATATGTGTATATTGCATTTATTTCACATACTCATAAGGGTATCACACGTTCTGTATACAACCGTTAATAACCAACCCACATAATGACACGGTATCTGCACCTTTTCGCTGAACTGATTCACGACTTTTCACCATCAACCTGGCCAGAAGTACAGTACACGAAGATATATTGTTCAATATTCACATATACGTAAATACTAATTAACTATCATTTCTTTTCCATACTCAAACCGTCTAAGACAGAATTTCCGTAGCGACCACAAAAATTGAAAAGTTGATATGTGAAATAAGTTGCATTATTCGTATTAAAATTCGTTTGTTAATGCAAATAATGATGCGCTGCCAGCGTCAGGCTATATGCTATGCTATATAAACCCGCATAATTACATTTATGGAACATTAAAGACTGCCGAAAGGTGAGTCAAACCTGTCACATCAACTGTGCAGTCTAATTTTACCAACTACCAGTTTAATTGACTCATCACCAAAGTAATGGACACTGGCGTCGTAAATATCTCCTTTTTGATTTAGAATTCTGTATAATTGCAGTTACTGACTGTTATTGGATTACGTCTATTCTATAGATATCTAATATTTAAAAGATGCTGAATCAATAATTTATTTTTTTTTATTAAAAATTATTTCTCCCAGCGAATTATAATCTTAAAAACGCATTGCAAGAATAATAAATTCCTGACTTTATTTAACGAACAAACCTTATCAGATGGCAAAAACTAAACTTTAACTTTATTACAGACCACCATCCTCCAGGTAATCAAAGTCGACCACACAACGTTTTTCTTTAAGAAATAGTCATCAATATGAATTCGTTTTAATCCACTCAAATATTATGGATTATTCGATATTATCAAATTAAGCCTCTCTTTTTAAAATTAAGATTTTCTGTATTCCAACTATCTAGTGGATTGCGTTATTTGTCAAAAATAGCAACGTACTGAATTTAGTAATTAATTCTTTGCATTTGCTGCACTCACCGTACAATTATGTTGTCGAAAGATCAAGAGTGGTAGCTTCTCAATACGTTTGAAAATAAACTTTATTACACGCCGACTGATTATTGTTATTTGCGTCTTCAATTTGTCAGTACTTTATTATAGGTTTTTCTATAACTTTAACATTACATTTGTTACTTTTGTAAGTAATGCTCCTAGCGTTATGACCTGAACATTCGAATAACAGCACAACACAATTAATAATAATAATAATGACCAAATTTCTTTACTTTATAATTATAATAAAAATAGACAAATTTTGCGTCTCAGATTCTGTTTATTGTATTTTAAGCGTACTTTACATTTATAACATTGGGGTAAATATACGTAAACGCATATTAAACGTTTTGAATTAGCATATTAGATTAACTGTTTTAAACCAAAAAATTCAGCTTTATTACCATCATACAGCGAGCATAATTTCCATCTTTACCATGGTTTGAAAGTTAGTTATTGTTTCCGAGAAAATAAAAAATTGGCATTGCCGCATATAATAAAATGAGTTACGACAATCAATATCTATCTGAACATATATTGAGTCAAATATTACGTCAATTTGCATTTCAGAATCCTTAAGATATACTGATACTGTACTTACTTACTATGATTAAATTATTGGTAAAAATAACAAATTAAGTTAGTTTTACTTCAACGTTGTATTTGCCCAATTTAGTATTAGGGTTACAAAAACACATGAAAATTTATTGCTGGCCAAACAATTGGTGCGTTAGCGAATATATTGGGAGAAGAATTATAAATATGTTTACTCCTATTAGCATAAAATTAATAAAGAATTTTAACTTTATATACCGTAATTTTCGTTAACTTCGTAATTTACTAATATAGTAATACATTCTTTATTCGATAAAACCACTGGAGGTAGATAAAAATTTTCAAACAAAATTTCCAGCCATGTACTATATAAAGCAAAAAAATAGTAAATGTTAATTCTGAGTTTACCGATAAAAAATAATAATCAATTCTACAAAAAATTTGCCTGATGTTTGCATTTTATATTGTGAACGCTATATGTTGTATAATCTGTTAAATTATCCGCTAAAATAATTATGTTTATTGCAATTGCGAATTAAGAATTTAATTTAACAATTGTATAGTTACGGCATGGATTTGCTTCTACAAATTAATTGTAATATTAACATTATACTGAAATCAGCGTAACAACTATTTAGCTAAAAATATTGCAGACGAGTAAAATTTGGTGTTAGTTGTCCAGTTATTATTATGGAACATGGTAATGTAACATTGTTTTATACAGTTATAATTTGTTATTAATTGATCTGATAGATACGTAATAGTAAAGTTGACACAAACAAATATTTACATTAGAACTATGCGCAAATTGTCATTTTATTATACAAATATGTTTGGTATAACAAATCCATTACGTAATTTGTAACTTTATACGAGACGTTAATGTTTAATTTTAATATAAAGTAACACACTTCATAATGAAAATAACTACTGTATTTCTCGTGCTTATAATACATTTACGTTCACTTATTGTTAGACAAAAACTAACAGTTGAAGTTTGAATATAACCGCCAAAAAAAATGTCCGAGAATAAAGCATTCTTTATAAAAGCAAATTTACGTCATGTCTATGCAACAAACTTAGCTGGTAACTAACAAGAAGGTACAACATTTGGCGTTTGTAAAACAGAAACGTGTTAATATGGGTATGTTGTTTTAATAAATACTGTATACGCTGATCTTTAGTAAACTTGTTGTAATTGACATATTAATGACCGGCGCTGTTATGTTACTACCACTTGCGTAAATATTACAATGGTCCAATAGTTACGTAATCGGATATTTACACCTGGCACAAAACTAGCGAGACCACCACCCAATCCATATACTATTGAGTTATAAAAGTACAGTACACATAGCAAATATAGTACCATTACTATATATAGCCTTTCAACTAATGTTATCTCATTTCGTCTTCTAACAACTAGAATTGTACAAACCAATTAAATACGTCACATTTTATTTATTTTTACCTCTCTAATATACAATTAATAAGAATTATTTCTAACTCATAATTTGCATAAATATAACCAATGTATTACGTTACAGTCCCTCTGCTAATATTACTTTCGTCGGATATAGTTAAGAAATCACACATTATATAGTCGTGAAGTATGAAATACAACCGCTCAAAAAAACTCATCAAAGTAATATACAATATCGTAATGCTCATCCATTTTAGCTCAAGCTGCTGCATACTAATTACTTAAACAAATGACATATCGTTTCCTCAACTTTACTAGGCTTGTCTAGTTTGTGTTTATGTACTATGTTTGCTTCAGATGGCACAATACAATTTCTGGGTCGTTAACATCACTAACCCTAACCCTGGTGTAGCCATTTAATTTACACCGGGTGTGTAAAATTGGTGTACGTACACCCCGGGTGTATCTGTTATCGTACACTCAGGGGGTGGTGTAAAATTTACCGTACACCTGGGGTGTAAGTTAAGGACACTCGAAACTAAAAATCGACTGTTGGCAGTCAATAACTTGGATATCAACAACAGCTGAGATTTATATTAGACCGAGTTTCAGCAGAGAGATTCAACCACTACTTTGTAGGAATAATTATCTAAAATATTTGCATTTCTTATCACAATAGTTATCGTCAACTTGCTCATTGATGGTTATAATAGCGATTAAGCGGGCGGAACATTTCCCGGAAGTTGTCTCACACAATTTGATTTTCAACTTTGCATTTAATTGGGTGACATATCGCAATTAAAAATCGGCTCGCAAAAATTTGAAAGATTTTCTGATTAGGAATTCTTTCCAAGGTCTGCACAATGTCTCACAAGACGGTCGCATGATTGTTCCTGTACAAGAATACTAACCAAGTTAATGTTAACCAATTATGAAAACGTTACTTGCTGCAGAACACTTTCTCCTGACGTAAAATCTTTCCGACTTTGTTTCCACAAGCGCTGTTATGTTAGCTAAAAGTAAATATGGGCTCTAATATGGTGAAATTGAGTAAAAATCACATCACTCTATGACGGAATTTCCAAATACCCGCACAGGTACAATTCCAAAACATTTACCCAGACATCTCATCTTCTAAAATCAGTATATCTTTGAATATTTTGATTTGCTTTCAATTTCCTTATGTTTACCTTCCGATTTTAATTGTCCGTAAGTTATTTCTTTGGTAATTTTGTTTTG